AGTAAATCTGATATCAGTAGCTCGAATCCATTTCTTTCTTGTGGTGTGCCTGGGAGTGAGAAGAGCCTTGTGTTATTACATCATGCTGTGTGTACAGTGCTGTGTGTGTTGGGTGTGTGTGTGTACCTTTAGCGATGAGAGCAGGTTTTAGAGGAGGGGTACCTGGGCACAGTATACAGAATCTCCCCAAGGTTTGATGGTTCTACCTGTCATGTCTTGACTTTTCAATGGTATAAAGCAATGTGCATTCTGAAGAAACTCTATACTGAATTTCAAACTTAGGTTCTTTTCCAGGCTGGTGTTAGGCTGTATGATACCCTCATGATGCTGAGAACAGACAGCATGTGCCCTGCCAGTTCAACATTGCAAGGGCTTGCAAGAGCTCAGAACTGCACTGAGGCTACAGTTACTGTGTTGCCCAGCTGGGATGTTCATGAGGTTACAGGCAGTCAAGGCATTTTCAATTTACAATATTTCCCAATTATTCTAGGTTTATTAGGCCATAATATAAATTAAGGAATAAAAACTCATGTAATAACTTTTGTATTCCTAACGGGGATTCATTATCCAGAGCCCAGAGCAACTTCTATCATCTAAACTATTATGCAATTTAAATGTTTTCTTATATCTTTCTACATCATAAGATTTTAAGTTATATTGCATGTTATTAAAATATCACCAGAAACTAAAATTCTAAACACTGAATGCCATAGAAACTCTAGAGAGTCAAAAACTTCTAAATGTACAAGATTTTATAAACAGAATCTGAAAAGCATGACACTATTTTTCATTTTTATTTCAATCATAGTCTTCACTGGATTCAAAACCAAACTAAATATATACCCCTCCAACCAAAGGAATGCTGAAAAAATGGCACTTGTAAAACAGAAAGAGAATGTCACCTCCTGCAGAGAAATAAAGGTGTTGAAACAAAAAAAATTTTAGGGATGCTTGTCTTTTTTCTGCATCTTGCACATTGTCTAGACAGCCCCAGGAACTGGGTTTATACTGAATTTGGTTCTGTAAAGGCATAAAGAAATTTATTATTGTAGAATATATGATCTCTTGGGAAAAGCTGAGAATGGGAAATCATAAAGGTTGTGGTGTTTCCTAAAGGGGAGAAGATTCATATAGGAAACATAAAAATAGTTTCTTGGCTGTAACATAAATGAGACTGTTTATGAAACATTAGTCATGCATGTCTGATTATTGTTGTTGTCTCTCCCTCTCTAGGTGTTTCTCTCTCTCTCTCTCTCTCTCTCTCTCTCTCTCTCTCTCTCTCTCTCTCTCCCCCTCCCTCTCTCTCTCTTCAGATGGACCACGTGGAACATGGGAATGGTACTCAAATTTCAGAATTCCATATTCTGGGATTTTCAGAGCAACCTGGATGGCAACCCTTCCCCTTTGGGTTTTTCCTCTCCATGTACCTGATCACTGTGTGTGGAAACCTGCTCATCCTCCTAGTCATCACCTCAGTCTCCCACCTGCACACACCCATATACTTCTTCCTCAGCAACCTGTCTTTTTCTGATATCTATATCACCTCCACCACTGTCCCAAAGATGCTGGTGAACATGCAGACACGGAGTGAGGCCATAGGCTTTGAAGGCTGCATCATGCAGATGCACTTTTTCATAGTCTTTGCCAGTTTGGAAAACTTCCTCCTGGCTGTGATGGCCTATGACCACTTTGTGGCCATCTGTCACCCCCTGAACTACACAGTCATCATGAAACCCCAGCTCTACATGTTGATGGTTGTGGTGTGCTGCATCCTGAGTGTCCTGCATTCCCTGTTACAAAGCTTAATGGTGTTGCAACTGTCCTTCTGCACAGACTTTGAAATCCCCCACATTTTCTGTGAACTTAATCAGATGGTCCAACTTGCCTGTTCTGACACTTTCCCTAAAGACATAGTGATGTACTTTACATCTGTGCTAATTGGTGGGCCCCATGATTGCATACTTTACTCTTATTCTAAGATAGTTTCCTCCATAAATTCAATCTTTTCAGCTCAGGGCAAGTACAAAGCCCTCTCCACCTGTGTGTCTCACCTCTCTGTGGTCTCCTTATTTTATTTATGAGCTTCGGTGTGTACCTTAATTCTGCTGTGACCCATAATTCACCCTCAAGTGCAACACCCTCGGTGATGGACAGCGTGGTCACCCCCATGCTGAACCCCTACATCTATAGTCTGAGGAATAAGGACATCAAGAGTGCTCTAAGAAGATACCCCTGAGGAAAACTGTAATGGTGATTTTCCAGAACTCTCCCTGACTGTAGGACTGTCCTCCTCAGAGATAGTGACCGCAGTTCCATGGTCAGGTCATGGAAGTACAACTTGTTCCTCCAAGATTTTTCTTTGAGTGTCAAGTTTCTTTAACTTTCATGACTTTATATAATTTAAACTCCCTTTATTAAAATTTCTGCTGTTTCTAATAGTCAATGGTATTTTTTCATGTTGTCATTTTTGCTACTTTCTCAAAGTTTTTACCAATTTTTGAAAATATTTTGAGTTTCCCACTGTCTGATGTGATTATTATTTGCACTAATGCGGTATGAACTACATTAGGCAGCTGAGGTCGTTTGTATAACTTTATAGCAGGAGACAATCTGAAAGTAAATTTTTTGACACCTGCATTCCAGATTCCTTGCTCGTCTCTCCTTAACTACTCTCTCTGGTAACACAGATCTTAACATACTAGTATGTTTCCCAGCTGTCACGGGTATTTGTTTTCCCCATGATGGTTTGTTCCTATCCAGCATGGTCCTCAGTGCATCCTGTTTACCCTGCATAGTGTAGTAAGGCCAAAATTATGAATCTAATACATGTTAGAACTATAATGGACACTGAGAGACCAATTTTAATGTCTTGGTTAACTTAGAGTCAGATATGACCAAGATTCCTGTGGACTAAAATATTCAACCATACTTGAATTACTCTGGAAGATTTCTTTTTGGTGATGTACATGGTTCTGGAGCAACTGGGCCAGGTGCATGAGAACCAGCCCCAACCTGCTTAAGAAAGTGAGGCAGATGGACCCAGAGTGCAGAGTTTACTGGGGACTTACTGACAGAAGCCTTATCCTGGACCACAGTGACAACAAGTGGATCCCTGCAGTTTGGGTCAGAAGAAGGAGCATATATAAAGGTTAGGACAATGACTTCATCTGAGCAAGAATGTACCTGGTCTATCTTAAGCTTCTATCAAGTCACGGGCATCCCTGGAGCCAGTCCAGCTGTAAAGCTGCACACACCAGGCTGATGGCTTGGTCTGCTAGAGTTTGCTGGAAACTATGCAGGAAACACCACCAAAAATAAGAAACGACAGATTATTCTGAATGACCTCTGATCTGTTTGTATCAATCACTGTATCAGTAACCCATTGCTGCATAATGATCTATCCCCAAGGCAAATGGTTTAATATAATGTTTTTCTTATTTCATGAGCTCTAACAGAATGTGCCTGTCATACTCTCTTAGCGTGGCATGCTCCAATGTCACTCATGTTGTTGTAAATGAAAGAATGAGAGCTGCATGGTATTCCATTGTGTAATATATACTAAATTGTATTTATAAATGTGCCAAAGAACGTCAAAAGCACTGTATTAAATTGGCTTTATATTCCTGCCATCCTTTTGTTTCCTAAGCTTCTTTGCTATATTTTCTCTCATAGTGCACATAGATTTACACAATATCATGAGAACTTAAGGACCAACATAGCAGGTGAAGTCCCTGGATATCTGTGTGGATGATGTGTGGATATCATTCTGGTGAATAGAGAAAATAATTAGATATATGTGTGTATGGTTGCTGTCTTCAGGGATAAATCTTATGAAAAATGCCATCCTAAAAGTACACCATCATCATGGTCTGCACAGATTCTTATGGAATATGGTCTGGGGAGGTCTTTGCATTTTGGAAGAAGACTAGAGTCAGAAATGAAGCACACTCATTACATTTGTCAAAACGGAGATTAACCCCACCTCAACCCCCCCCAAAAAAAAAACAAAGAAAAAATGCCACATACAGCAGTGATAAAGTATATTTTAATGTATATACCAATGCACAATGAAGCCCACCATTCTGTATAATTAACATACATGAATAAAAAGATTACATAATAACATTTTCCAGCCTCCCTCTGTCTCAGAGCATTTGGGAAACTCAAGGTCCAGCACATCAGAACCAGCAACACACATAGCCCTTGGTTCATGATGACTGTGTGGTGCAGGGGGTGACAGATGGCCACATACGGGTCATAGGACATCACAGTCAGAAGAAAGATGTCCAACCCTGCAAAGTGTATGAAAAAGTACATCTGGGTGATGCAGCCTGCGTAGGTAATGGCTTTGCTCTGTGTCTGGATGTTCACCAGCATCTTGGGGATGGTGGTGGAGGTGAAGCAGATGTCCACAAAGGACAGGTTGGAGAGGAAGAAGTACATGGGTGTGTGCGGGTGGGAGTCTAAGATGGTGGCCAGGATGATGAAAAGGTTCCCCAGCACAGTGACCAGGTACATGGAAAGGAACAGCCCAAAAATGAGGGGCTGCAGTTCTGGGTCCTCTGAAAATCCTATGAATTCTGAAATCTGTCTGCTATTCCTTGATTTCATGTGGTGGCTGTGACAATGAGCATAAAAGAGAGAGAGAGAGAGAGAGAGAGAGAGAGAGAGAGAGATGCATTACTGTTTAATTTCTATTTTGCTCTCATTTCTATTTATGGTAAAGACATCATTTTTACATTTTATCTGAATCTGGTCTCCTTTCAAAACATCATCCTACACTTTTTTAAGAAAATTTTTCCCACATTTCTCAGCATTTCCTTGAGATCAGTACTCTACAATTATAGTGACAGACTCCTAATGCATTTGAAGAACAAAAGTTGAGTATTCACTATGTTCTAGGAATAATCTAGAAAATGTAGGAACCGTGCAGAAAAACAAATGTCCCTACAACATAAAGATGGAGAAAAATTATAAGCAAACTTGCAAAATTATACAACATGCCAGTTAAGACAGATGCTTGGAAGAAGAGGAAAGAAGGTAAGAAACAAGAGAGTGGATGATAAAGATGCTTTTTTAAAAAATCCGACTTCTGGCAAGACCAGCAAAGAAAGTGACAAATCAGATTTGAACAAAATCTGAAAGGAGAAAGAGCAAGTGTACAAAGAGCAAGTCGTCAGGGAAGATTGTCTGGAAGGAGGTACAAACTGTGCAAAGGCCCTGAAGAAGCTTCCCATTTCAGATATCCAGGGATAACAAGAACTATGGTGGCAAGAAGAAAGACCAAGAGGAACAGGGGCGGCTCAAAGGCTGAGAGCACAACAGTGGTAACCCGAGGATGGGAAGGTGAGCAAGGAAGGGAGGACATACGTGGGTTAAATGATGGTTACAAAAACAAAGGAGAATTAAATTCTAGTGTTCCACAGCACAGAAGTGGGCCTTGGGCTACCCATATTTATTGTTTAATTCAAAGTAGTTAGAAAAAAGGAGTTTGAATTTTCCTGTCGATAGTAATGATAAACGTTCAAGGACATGGGTATGATAATTACTCCCATTTGGTCATTAAACATTTACACAGGTAGCAACGTATCACACAGTCCACCATAAATATATGCAATTAATTTTGTGTGAATTTAACATGCAAATAAATTTAAAAAGAAGGTTCTTCTTATAATTTTTTCTGTAGGATAGTTTCCTTGGTAGTATCTATCCTAAGATGTGATTATGCTTGTTAAGAAAAGATCCATGTGTAGCTCTTTGGATCTCAGAGCTTAAAGCAACTTGCTGAGTTCAAAAATGTCAACCCAGTAATTGTATTTGTTATGATTGCATGAACATAGTAAAGCACTCGGAAACACCATTTCTTTAACTGGAAATGTGACGATAATGGTACCCAATACATAAGAACCTTGTGAGAAGCAAATGATGTAATCTGTGGAAAATTTTAACAAAATTTACAGAAGGTGGGTAGTGGAGAAGGATGTGGACAGAGATACTGAACAATGTTGCATATAGATGCAAAATAAATGAACTCTGATGAATAGGGAAAGAAAATGTCCAATGGTAGGAGGATGGATACAAAACACAATAGAATCTTATTCAGCCTAAGAAACAATGAAATCCTGCCATTTGTAGCAACATGGATGGAAATGGAGCTCATTATTATAAGTGAGATAAGCCAGGACAGTAAGACAAATCCCTCACGCTGTCATTCATGTGTGGAAGCTACAGCTCCTGAAAGAGAGTGGAATCATGGTCGCTGGAGACAGGGAATTTTAGGAGAGAGGGAAGACAGAGGCAGGGGAGACACTAAGCTCCCACACACTGATAGGCAGGAGGAACAGCTCTGGTGGTCTGTAGCAGGGGAGGGGAACAGTAGCCATAGAAACCTTCCAACATTTCAAAGTAACTAGAAGAGTCTGAAGTTTCTCAATATGTAGAAGTGATTAATGCTTGAGGAGAAGGAAATGCTAACTACCCTGACTGGTTCATTTCACATACCATGCATCTTCCAAATTATTCTATGCACCTAATAAATATAGGAATGTTATGTGTCCATTAAAATGTTTTAAAAATCGTATTTAGCATGTTGAAGAACCAAGTAATCTTGTGCCACTGAAACATCAATACAAATGATTCTGCCCAATTCTTTGCTTTTGCACTATTAAATTTGCTACAAAATTTTTCCTTTGAATTGTAGTGCATTGTCATTTGACTTCTACCTGTCGTCTTGAGACCCGGTCACTGTATCAGGAATCCCCATAAGGAATGTGGAAGCTAGTGGACTTATGATGGGGTTATGTCCTGATAAAGCCACCAGAAGAGTTGTAACATCATAAGTCAAAAATGCACTAACATCCTCAACCCACCAGCATCCCAGCTGAGTAGCATGGCAGCTGTGGAGTCTCAGGTGCTCACCCAGGGGATGGTCTGGCTGACCAGGAGTCCAGCTCTGTGCTACCAGAGTCCAGCATCATTAAAGGGTATTGTATTGCATATCACCAGCCTGGAAAAGATCAAAATTGAAAATTCACAGTAGATTTTTTTTATAATACACATCATTTTTAGATGATCATAAAGTTTAAAAAGTCATGATTATTTTGAGCCTCATAATTTGGGGGACTGTCTGCATACCATTCTCAGGTTCACTTGCTCTGAAACCCACACACACACTCGCACACAAACATACACACAATAGCCCAACGTGTTCATATCATGCTCTTCTCACCCCAGCCATACTATCCAACAGGAATGGATACAAGGCAAGTTGTCAAATTCAGATTCACATTCCCCTAAAGAATGAAGCAATGGTGCTCAGAAAATCCAGGTTCGCGGTCTCCCATCACACTTAACCTTGGAGATCCATTTTTGTATGATCATTATCTGCTCTGCATTTAAAGAAACAAGAAATATGCTCAATAAAGGGAAGGGGATGTAAAAGGGACCTGAGAGAGGAACCGTCTAAGGAGGCAGGGGTCCCTAGGATGCTGCAAAGAAGGAGAAGCTGCCTTGATTCTGGTGGCATTTCCTCCCATGTTTCCCTCGGTGGCCAGCAAAACTATAAGGGATCAAAATAAAGAAAGGGCATCTTTTCAGTGTCCAGAAACATCACATCAACATCCAAATAGACAAACTGAATATTGCAAGCCAACAACCCACAAAAGGAAGTTCACCAAGAACAACAAATTCTCTCCTCATTGTCCCCGGAACAGCAGGGGAATGGCCTCCCTGAGGCTGCTGCTCTCTGGCCATGAGAGGAAGAGAACAGCCACGTC